TTAACAGCTAGTTTATTTATTTCGTACATGTATATTAAATGTCACTCGGTACAATATGACACCTTAAACAACGTCATTGTTGGACTATTATAAACAATGTGTAACGAGATGAAAATGCTTGTTATTTTTGCTAGTTATTTCTTTGTTTATTTTTTTGTTTTGTTTTTTTTTTTTTGTTTTTTTTTTTGTTTTTTTTTTTGTTTTTGTTTAAGAAATTGACAAAAATCTTTCATTGTAACAAAAAAAAATTAGGTATGGTCATCAATAAGACTTCACCTTTCTGGCAGAAAAGTGTCACATGAATATGAAGATAACGAACAAAATTCAATCTCGAAAGTCCAATAAAACGATACAATTTTGGAGCACAGCAAACACGGACCTCAAAATTTAGAGGTGGGATCAGGTGCCATGGAGGTGTGAGGATCACCTGCCGACCGGTCACATCCGCTGTCTGCTCCTTGTCATGATCGGGGGAAAAACGGAAAAATCCGTAGACAGTTCAGTGCATAAATAATGACCTTACAATAAGTATGAAAAACGTCAGTCAGCATTTGACTCAATGATAGATTTTATGTGCTGACAAGGTCATTGTATCGACCGTAAAACTTGTGAAAAGATTACTTCAAACGAGACTATTGATATCATTGTTTCATAAACTTGTTTGTCAATAGCTTGCCTCGTTTTAGAAATTGTTCATACGTAGAGCATAAAATATGGAAATAACGAACAGTAATAAAGCTCAAAAGTCTATTAAAACAATAAATATTGGAAGCAAAGCAAACGGACTCTAAAAATATCAGAGATGGGCTCAGATGCCATGGAGAAGTAAGCATCTCCTGTTGACCGGTCACCCCGCCATGTGTTCCTTGACATGATAGGGAAAAGTGAAAAATCCGTAGACAATTCGGTGTCAAAATAATGTCCTAACAATAAGTATGAAAAACGCCAGTCAGCATTCGACTTAATGATAGGTTGTATTTGCCGACAAAGTCATCGTATCGACAATAGAACTTCCGAAATGATAACTTTTAAACAAGACTGTTGATATTCTTGTTTCATCAACTTGTTTGTCAATAGATTGCATCATTTATAGAAATTGTTCGTACGTAGAGCATGCTCTTGTATCTTGTATCGAATCAACTGGGAGATATAAACCCTATATGAAGATGATAAGGATGTAATTGCAACATAAGTAAGGGAAGTTGACGATACATGTAGAAAAGTTGAAGTCATCACGTTTTATTATTATTTTTGTTGTTAGGTTACCATAAATGTCTTTTTCTAGTAAAATATCCAAATATGTCCTTTGTTTCAAGTTCATGTCGAATCAACATATTAATGTTATGAATTGTTAATTGAAAATATATATATACATACATATATATTATACACCTATTTACTGGCTATGAGGACAATAGCAAGTTTATCGTCCCCCAAGACAGCAACTATTTCCCGAGGCGCAGCCGAGGGAAATGGTTGCTGTCGAGGGGGACGATAAACTTGCTATTGTCCGAATAGTCAGTAAATAGGTGTTTTATTATACCGAAGCCGACTTTACTTGTGTTACGTCACAATCTGGATAAAACCAGAAGAGCTCCGAAATGAAAAGCGAGGGAAACGGAATGCTGCCGGTGAATAGTTTGAAGACTATTTCACCATGGGCTAATAGCACAAAAACTATTCCACGGTTTAAAAAAATAGCAGGTTTATTCGTCATATTTTTATATAGAAAAAATTCACAGAGGTATAATATATATATATATATATATATATATATATATATATATATATATATATATATATATATATATATCGATTGATATCTAAATGTCGAGTTGAAGGCCACGGCGAGTGTTTGAATTAATTCTGCTTCATAGGTCTGCTAATAAAGGGGAGCAATTGGCGACCCATTATTGGAAGACCCGGTCTCCATAAACTACATACGCGGGTATGTTAAGGCTACACTCAGATATTCTACTTGCCTATACAATATGACGTTATAGTAAGCTGTATGACGTGATCTTTAGAGATAACGATTTGTTAGTATCTATATTCAAAGTTTTATAAAAACATTAAAAAAAAAACATAAATATAAACTAAATCTTGTCATTTTTGGATGGTATAAATAGAGAGGTAATTGTCATGGGGGTTAAATATCACACTCAAGACGTCACACATGTTGATCAACATAAGAATATCTAAGTCACGTTCTGTTTTGAGTACGATCGAGCAATTTTTGACGCAGTTATGCCCCTTGGACTTTGAAAAATTCCAATTATTTGCAGTTTCTGTTCATTTTCTTCGCAGAGGTTGCACACACTGAAATGAAATTTGGTATACAGATTTATCAAAAAAAAAATATCTAGGTCAATTTCTGTTTTGGGTACGATCGATCAATAATTGACAGAGCTATGCCCCTTGGACTTCCAATTATTATTATTATTTTTGGGGGGGGGGGGTTAAGTGTTTCACAAAATCTCTTATCATTTATTTCTTATGATGAAGACAGACAGTGTTTTGAAATCCCAGTAAGTCTTTCCTCTGTTGTTCTAAACAACAAAGATGCGAAAGTTCAACACTACGCCATATACTTTGAAATTTAACATAATGTTTGTTTATATCGAAAACTTGAATTCTAAAGTACTTGGAAAGTACTGCTAGACCGTGTGATTAACATGAATTGATAAAAATTCCTCGATCATATGTACAAAATATAAAATTTTGGTAAGGTTTCAAGCTAGACTTTAGAATATTTTTTTCTGTGAAAGGATAGTGAGATTCTAGCAGCAATTTTCGTGACCCAGTGATGTTTTAACATACATGTAATTATTCTTACAAAGAGAAATGAATTATCCCCGCGGTAGTGTTGAACTTTTCAATTATTCGGTGTCTTCCCACTTAGCCAACATTTTGATTGATTGATTGATTGTATGTTGTTTAACGTCCCTCTCGAGAATTTTTCACTCATATGGAGACGCCACCATTTGCCGGTGGAGAGCTGCAAATTTTGTCCTATACTCGGCACTTACGGCCATTGAGCAGTGAGGGATCTTTTTCGTGCCAGCACTTACTGCGACACGGGACCTCGGTTTATACGGTCTCATCCGAAGGACCGGTCTCCACGTCCCACAGTGGGATTCGAACCATTTTGAAAAAATACAGATAAAACACAGGTAAATCTGTGTTGGCTAAGTGGTTGCTATTAGTGGGATGGGTGCAGCTGGAGAACAAAAGAATTAAATTGCAGGTACATGTAGGCTATAGTCTGTTTTAAGATATTTAGTACCATATATATTTAGAAATGCATGTATCTTTTTTTTAAAATACTAATTGATATTACAGTTGATTCAATTAAAATTGTCTTTCAATAATTAACAATTTTCTTTGCGTTATCTCTGTTTTGCAATATCAGAATATTTGTTTTATTTATTTTATGAAATTTTGTCACATTTTGTGGCGAAATTTGCTTTATAAAATTTACTTATGTATATATTGCTATAATCATTTTTTTTTAATTACATTTTATATTTATATTTTTTTATATATAAATTGTGTTTCTGTTTTAGTATTTTTTTTTTATCTCATTATCAATTATGAAATTATTTATCTAATATGTTTTAATAATTAATAGCTTTATCCTTTCATCATATCACAATTAGTCCTCTGTGTTATATTTTAAAAATAAATTATAGCTTAACTTTAGTCTAGCCTAAGATATAAGATTTTTTTTTTCAATTTCAAATGAATCCACAAACACTATGCTGCATACTATTTTTTTGATCGCGCAAATAGATGAAAATCAATTTGAAAATGAAAATGTAACAATAGATACCATCTATTTTAAAAATATTCGACATGAAATTAAATTTTCAAACTGTTTATGGAATACTTGACAAAATCAATATACATTCATTTTTTAAAATATCCACAGTTACTTGTGCATTTGCTACTTGTATGGTAAAAGTGAGTATATGTACCTGTATAATACAAGATGACGGGAATTGCATAAATTTGTTTAATTATGAAAACAATTTATGAAAAATGACAGCATCTGATCCACATTATTAAATAAGACAAACTGGAGATTTTCAAGTACGGAATAATTACTTAAGTTGATTTTCCAACCAGAAAATACAAGTAGAACAATTTGTTTTTATTGCTTGTATTATTGTGTTCATAAACATGTTGTAAATCACATGCTTAAGTAATATTTTCATCATAACTGATAATTCAGTTTTAGAATATTTTAAATTGCTTTCACTGTACACAATTTTTGTATCCTTATAATTTATTTATTCTTAATTGAATTTTAATATTTTTTATCAATATTCATTTTTCAATAAAAAAAATTATTTATGTTTTAACCACATTCACATAAATTTATATAAAACATTTTTCCCCAAGGACTTTTCAAAGTGTTGGCAAAGTGGGAAAACATTGTGCTTCTTTTAGCCTAAGACTTAATGACGTCTTTACAATGGATAATACAATGTAATAGTAAATGTTTTATCCATGGCTTTTCCGATTTATCAATGTTACATTTTACACAAAAAAGTGTGAATTCGCCGAATAATGATTTATGTACTGCCTTAACATAACTGCTTAGATACTGTCAATCAGAAACTCATTGACAAGCATTTTTTCAATAACAACTTCAGAGTATCTGTGTGTACATGTACAATCAGGATATACTTTAACAAAATAACTTGGCAAATGACCAGTGGCAAAGTACATGGTGAAAATAAATTAACAAGTTCAATTTTATTTAAAAAGCAGCCGACTTAAAAAGGCTGGATTTTAATTTATCGTAAGGATTATTGTATAAAGTGTTGAAATTCGTTACGTTTTGATGTTATTGATTTAAAAAATATTTTGTAATTTAGAATTTTCTAAAAGTTCCTTGGAGTTTTTCAGTATCCACATTTGATTTACACCACTTCTCGAATATATTGCTGTACAGTACTGCTGAGGTTTCTCCTTCACTGCTGTTTATATTTTAGTGAGGAGTAAAGAAAGAGGATTGGTTTAACATCTATGGAACCCGCTTTGTATCTTTGAATCCAGTATAGGTATGGTAATTCAAATTCATTTTAATTGTTGGGAATATAATAAGATATTTAAAACTGAAACATGACTTTGAAGAATTCCCTCCTTAGAAACGGAGTTATTCGTATAAGTTGGATTACCACTTGCATAATTAAATCCTAGTTCCTCTAAAATGCAACTTGAATAACAAGGACAATGTTGTTACCTGCATTGTTAGTTGGTACCAGTAGATGCTGATCGTGTAACCTAATTCCCCTTTCCATTTCTGAATTATTGAAGCCAGCAGGATAGATGGTTTTCATACTGCCCCTCAATCGCTTAATGCGAGGTTTTAACATCCATATGTCATTTGAGGTTTTTCAATGTTGTGATAAAATAAATATCTATGCATATATTTGTTGAACAGTGAACACCGTGCAATGTGTTACTTTGACGTATTTGTTAGATATTGATGACAAAATCAATTCTTGTAAAAATAATTTAATTTTCCTCCCATATTTTTAATTATTTGGTACTTATCCTATATCGCTTTATAATTGATTTGCTCTATATATCTACGTGTACATGTATGTTCAAGATGTCACACTTGAAATCGATAAAGTAGCGGTTTGAAAAGCGAAGTTGATCCGACCAAGAAAACATTTAACACATAGGTTACATTTCTTGCATGCAGGTTACAAGTATTGCATGTACATTGTATAGGAAAATAAATATGCCTCAAAAAAATGAAAAGATTAGATTTTCGAAACATTTATTGAATGGAAATCGCTTTATATATCTAATGTATGTCTTTTTTTCAGTTTTGCCAATGCAGAAAATGAAATTACGAGTATGCAGGTTTTTCTGCATGAGAAACAGAGCCCTTTACGGTCCCTTGGTGATTATGTGTGTCTATTTAACAGCAAATTTTACAGACTTTATCACAGAACACGTCTACGAGAGATGGAACGATTTGGTGTGTCTAGAGAGATATAAAGAATTAGGAGAGATGGGACCAGGTAAGCATGTTAGGATGCATCATGTGCAAAAGATTTTTGTACATACAATGTACATATACAAGTAAGCCTTTCTTTAAATGTGTGAGTTCAATTTACACATGCGCAAGTTTCTATATGCTACCTCATTATTCATTTTGCACCTCACAAACTCTTGACGTCATTTACGTCAGAAGAACTTAGACATGGCTTGCTTCAATGACAAGAAAAAATGAAAACTGAAGTATTAAAAGAATGTTACGAGTGTTCTGAATGTTGATCAATACCAGTTCACGTAACATCAACCTAGATGACACAACCGCTATTTTATTGTTTTACGTGCCAGTGAGTGTTACATTCGCTATAGCATAGCAGAAAAATCCTGAAAGGCGACATCGTCGTTAACTATTATAGCTTTAATTTGTAATACACTCGCTTATAGATAGTTAGAATTAAATTACATGTATCAATAGAATCCAATCAATTCCGACTTTTTACAGTACAATAGGCCAAGTTTTTGTGAGGTTTGGAACGTATCATAAGAACTTGGCAAGCGAAGAGCTTTCAATTCTGCAGTCGGACATCTTATACTTCATATAATTTTATTTTGTTATAATTCAATATCTCATCTTATTACTTTTAGAAGAAATATATGTCATATTAATATACAACAACGATTTTACAATTATAGATATGCTTTCTAGGGTCAACGATTTTTTTTTCTAAATACTTTCAAACATATATTTGCATTCTTCGCAGTGGGTAATATTACAGCATATATGATTCCACGAGAGTTGCAGGATATGTCATCCGATTTTTGGTGGTTGCAATTTGGTGGACACAACAAGGTTAGAAGGTCACAAAAGGAACTGGACGTGCATGAAAGAGTAGCGATTATAATCCCCGTGAGAGACAGAGAGGAACACCTGAAGATTCTTTTACACAATCTTCACCCTATTCTTCATCGTCAAAATCTGCAATACAGCGTGTACGTAGTGGAGCAGGTACATGTACCCTACTGTACTGGTTAGGCATGGTAGATCTTAAGTATTATAAACTGAGAGTTCTTATCAACTCTCTAAAAATATAATTATGCAAACCAGAGAAAAAAACTTGTCGAGTTGATACATACAATGTTCACTGAATATAAATATTTGTTAGACACATCTTTTAAATATAAAAAAATGACGTTTTTTATCGACCGTGTACCGACCGTCACGGTAGCTTAGTCGGTAGAGCGCTCGATCCGCGATCGAAAGGTTGTGTGTTCGAATCACGGCCACGACTGACATCAGTCGATAAAAAATAGGTTGCAATTGTTCCTTCCCCAAGCGCTCGGCACTTTAAAGTGAAAATTGCGGGTTTTTCGGATGAGCACTTCAAAACCGAGGTCTCTAGTCACGGTAGGCGATGGCACGATAAAGAACCCTCACCGCTCAATGGACAAGGGATAATCACCTTGTCGACATACCTACAATTAAATTAAATGGGGAAAACTAATTCATTCAAAAAGGGACATATTATTCTAATTAAATAATTATTAATAATAATTAATAATAATAATTAAATAAATAACTTTAATTTCTTGTTCATTTAAACACTATACATGTACTACTTAGGTCTCTGAAAAACAGAAAATTAGAAGAATTACAAAAATTATTTGAAATGCCAAAATTATTAGAAATACAATTGCAAAGTTACATTTACTTGTCCATGGAATCGACCGTTGACCAGTGTGGCTCTGTACGTGTGACATCCCAGTCCTTGTCAAACTGGTACATCGGTAGATAGAATGTTCTATCGTTAAAATGATAAATGTCCTACGGACCCGGTTTAACGATAGAATTCGTCCCGTGTATTCACAATGTTGCAAAATAAACACGGGCGATAACTCGTACTCTATACATTTTCTATGAACAATACAGAGAGTTCCGAATGTCAACATGGCGTTAAATTTGAAGCGAGGAAAAAACGTTGAGAAAATCCGTTGAATTTTCGTATTTATTTGAATTATTTTTAGGTTAAAAGACATATACCATCTCAAAAAGGTTTGTTATGATTAATTTGGTAGTTATTTTCAGTGCAACTCCTTTTGTATTCTTCAAAATCATTTCGGAGTGGATCCACTCCGATTTGCTACATTGCAAGTATATGGGACGTATTCTAACTGTGGTGAGGGCTTGTCCCTAGACACAGTTAGATTATTCTAACTAGTACATCGGGTGGCAGTCCGACTTTCCCTGGTATATTTACTGTGGTGGAATGAAATCGTCAGCCTTTGTGATTCCAATTAAAATCGTCATCTGATGTTTGTCGTCAATATGAGATACGGAGACTTGTTAAGATCCCTCGAAATCCATAGCTCAGTTAATTAGAACTGAGTTTCCAGTTCCCAGTAAAATAAGGAATCTACATTTAAACAGCCTTAATTTATTGTAACGCAGGGTATATTTTGTTTTAAAAAATGAATTAACAGTATTCGTTGTTTTGGTTTTAAATTTAAGAGGTTTCTATACACTTCATTAACTGCAATATACTGTAGCGGGAAAGTCCTTTTCCCAGTAGCGCTGCCAACAGCTGATTATCTCCCATCTGCAAGGAAACTCAAATATGACCTCTTATTAAAAAAAATATAAAATGACCTGACCCATTCAACCCTCTATACTTTTACTCTGACCCTGACACTGACCAATACCAACACCTCAACAGAAGTCTTAAAGACTTGTAATGAGACACAAGTTCATAAAGTTAACAAATTTATTCATTCAAATCAATATAACAAGCAAAATATAAAACAACGCGGCTGAGGACTTCACTCATGTGCGTAAAATTGTTACACAAAACTAACACGATAACGAGATCGACCTATATCATAGCACAATTAAAGGAGGACAACTCGGGATAACTCAATGTGACAAAACAAGAAGGTCAATCACTTCTTGTATAGAAATTAAAAGCTAAACTCATCTGAGGCTATCACTCATGAGTTTCTTATCAGTAATTAGAAATAAATAAGCTATAGAATTCTCAGGGGAAAATCACCCTTAAGAATCTAAAAGTTCCTAATAAAATTTCTCTGAGTAAAATTGCTCTTGAGAAATACCCTAAGTAGTAGTCTCCCGCGTGGCGCAGTGGTTAGAGCGTCAGCTCTAGAGTCGCGAAATAAGGAGTTGATCCTTACGTCGAATCCCACTGTGGGACGTGGAGACCGATCCTTCGGATGATACCGTATAAACCGAGGTCCCGTGTCGCAGTAGGTGCAGGCACGAAAAAGATCCCTCACTGCTCAATGGCCGTAAGTGCCGAGTATAGGACAAAATTTGCAGCTCTCCACCGGCAAGTGGTGGCGTCTCCATATGAGTGAACAATTCTCGAGAGGGACGTTAAACAACATACAAACAAAACATACAACAGTAGTTAAATTAATTATCAACTACAATAATCACTTGAGACAATCATCAATTTATGTTTACAACAAAGACTTTTCTAAACTATAATTTCTCTCACAAATAATTAAAAAGAGCTTAATTTAGAAGTCTGATAAACCAGACTTTCCAATAAACTTAAAATTAAATACCTCAGTAAAATTCTACAAAATCTAGTTTGCTATCGAATCTCAACTGATCAAAGTCTCAAACAAATCCCTAAAATTAGCCAAATAAAATACCAAAATATTTGCTACTTCTCATAAATCAATAAAACAACTTTCCGTAAATAAAATTCAATAAGTTTCCTTTCAAAAATTAAGCTTAAGATTATCTCCACTCGCCTTCCTTTTTGTTGCGTGATCTTTTTAATTTTCGATGTGCCATCTGTAATAATGTTAATAATTTTCATTGTAAATAAGATTTCATTTCTTATCAACATGATACCTTATCATTGTTCTGAAGTTATCTCTCTTACAATGACAGATAAAATAAAGGGGCAAAGGGCAAGGGAAGACATTCGATCTGTCGCCGTATGCGTCGATTGAACTTTAAGTTAAACTCTTTCTAAGCGCGTTCTATAATTTACACCATAAAGGAACATCAGCGCCGCAGTATTTCTTCAATTTGTTGTGATGGACGACTTTTGAGCTTCCATCTTCTTTGAATTGGATTCTGAAATCAAGATCATTTAACTTTTATGTGATAACACATGGACCCCAGTAAGCATCTTGTAACTTCGGTGAGATGCCTTAATTCTCTCAGTACGGAGGTATTACTTCATTGTGTGCTGCTGTAACTCTTCTGATTGATTGATTTCTTCATGTATGGCATGGGATTTCCTCATCATGAAACAAGATGATTCCTTTACTTAGTAAAACATCAGTAGGTTTTCCTTCTTCCATCAAAATATCCATTCCTAAGAGTCCATCATCTGCAATAGCTGCTACTACAAGCTCTTTAATGAGGGTGATTTGTCCTACTTCTATTTCAAATTTAGCTTTGCCTTTTTCTCTAAGAGGTTCACCACTACAGTTGCATAATTCTGTTGATTTTTCTAACACTGGTCTTCTGTTCTCTGGTAATCTGTTGAAAATCCTCTCAGAAATCACAGTTCTAGCAGATTCAGTATCCACTGTGAAATTAACTTTAAGTCAATTTACTGTTGCTTCTAGAAGTACTCCTTCATTTAAATGCTTAAATTTCTCATTGAATGATCTGTTTTTCTCTTCCAAATTAACTTTCATAATGTGGTCTGTCAAAGTTTCCTCTAGGGTGAGTTCTCGACCAGCAGAGTCAACCCTGCCTAGTTTAACGAAGGAGCAAATGTTTGATTTGTATCTGGATTTTTCTGCCCATCAGCAGAACCTTGTGAGGGATTATCTCTTATCATTGGAGTCCATCTCGGTGTTGCTGTGGGTCTGTTAGGAACTCCGTTGTTTGGGGGGCAAAACCTAGCAAAATGTCCCAGATTTCCACACTTAAAACAAGTTCTGTCATGTGTATGAGGTTCTCTGGTGCGGTATTGAGGTGCTTTATTTTGACCATCAATCATCAGAATTTTCATCAAGTTCTGCAAATCTTCTCTCTTCATACATATTATCTCTTCATTCACTCTCTTTCAGACATGTAAAGGTTCTGTTGAAGAGTTATATATCTCCTTTTTCTGACTCTTTTTTCCTTTGTAATTCCGTGACTCTTTTCCACGCCATTCTGATTAGTTTATATTTTCTTCATATCCTTTACTTTCACTTGTCTTGCTATTCCCTTAGGTCTTTTGTCTTGCTCATCTGTGTAGCCAGACTTCTTAGCCTCTGTGAAGTTGATTACATGTCTGATAGCTTCATCAATATCTGCAGGATCTTTGACAAATTCTATCTGAAACCTTGCATTCTCAGCATTAAGTCCATCTAAAAATCTCCGGAGTAAATCCTCACATCTTGTCCCAGGATTTCTATTAGAATAAGCTTTGTCATAGAGTCTTTTCAGCTCGGCTCCATACTGAGTTGCGGTTTCTCCAGGCTTCTGATCTCTTCTGTTAAACTGCAATTTATAACTACGAGCTGTCTCAAAGATGTCGAATCGGTTGTTAAGTTCTTCCACAAGTTCCTCATAGTTGTCAATTTTCTCTTATGATAGTTGTCCGAACACAAAATCACCTGCTTTTCCAAGTAATCTGGGTAATAACTGATCAAGTTTTTGTCCTCTGGTCCAATGTTGTCTCTTTGCTACATTGTACTGTTTTAAATCTGTTAATCCATACCTTCCAATCCTCCTCACTTGTAAAGGGAGGTAACTTCATATTGTGTAATTTCATAGAGTATTTTTCTTGAATACTTAGGTCCAAGTCATCTGTATAGCCTTCTGAATGAAATTCCTCTTCACTGTCATCTGATGATGATTGACTTAACAATCTTCTTCTTTTTGGGGTCGACATTCTTTTCTGCTTTTGAGACTTTGGCTGCTTTAAATGGAGGTCCTACTTCTCTTTTCTGTATTTTCATGTTGTCTCTTGTCATTGTCAACATCTTGCTGCTCATTTGAAACTTTCCAAAAGGCTTTAGTAATGGTAGTCACTAAAGTTTGACTCCAATCCTGTAATGCTCCTTTAACAGCTCCATACACTGTTTTTTCATGTTATCTCTGTTTTCACTCTGATCTCCTCTTCCAAGTGCATGATGATGAGGTTTTGGTGAAATCAACCTTCGCCTCACTTCTAATGGTGGATGAATAGGACTCACAGGTGCTATGACATCCCTGTCTTCTTGGTCAATATCTGTGTCATTTCTATCTCCGCATGCATGAAAATCTACTTCATCATCTCTGTCTGTTTTTGGCACAATGTCTTGATCTGCTTCCATTCTGTTTGGGTTCTGAAGTACTGTAATATTCTTATTTTCACCATGAGAGTCTTTCAGGCTGTCAACTTTCCTCATACAAACTTCTGTATCAGTGTCTGTTTCTGTAGGCCTATCACTCTCCTCTCTGTGCATGTTGACTTCTTAAACCAAGGTTTCTTCTCCTGCTTGCCATTTCTTTATTCTTAACAACAGTAGTACTCTGTTTATTCACAGAGTCTCTTTTTCTTTGCAAATTAAAAGCCGAGATAGGTCATAAAATGAAAAACCACATGTGCCATCAACTTAGGTCTCAAGTTTAAAACCTCTGCTAACAGTATTCACTCTCACTGAATAACATACTCTAGGTCCTCTCTCACTGAACCCTATCAACCAGGACTACCTCTCACTTAGTCCTAAAATTAAACTGATTTGACAAAACATGAACACTACACCTCTACTACAACTACAACAACTATCACTACAACATCAGACTACAGTCCTTCTCAAAACTTCTCTTCCCAACATCATTAAATAAATAAATAAATAAAAAAATGGTATCCCAGACTCCGATCCAGTCTGACATCGTAGGTCTGCTTCCAAGGCTCTCAGGCACGTTGAAGACTAAAGTCTGTACACCTTCCAACAAGTCAGCTCACTGCTGCTATCAACTTCTTGGACCATAGCTGAACAAATTCGAGGCTGGGCACGTATCTCTGAATGTGGACGCACGTCTCCGAAGTCACATCCCACCGCTGCCACCACGAAATTTGTGTAGCGGGAAAATCCTTATCCCAGTAGCGCTGCCAACAGCTGATTATCTCCCATCAACAAGGAAACTCAAATATGACCTCTTATAAAAAATATAAAATGACCTGACCCATTCAACTCTCAATACTTTTACTCTGACTTCGACACTGATCATTACCAACACCTCAACAGAAGTAAGTCTTTAAGACTTGTAATGAGACACAAGTTCATAAAGTTAACGAATTTATTCATTCAAATCAATATAACAAGCAAAATATAAAACAACGCGGCTGAGGACTTCATTCAAGTTGTGCGTAAAATTGTTACATAAAACCAACACGATGACGAGATCGACCAATATCATAGCACAATTAAAGGGGGACAACTCGGGATAACTCAATGCGACAAAACAAGAAGGTCAATCACTTCTTGTATAGAAATTAAAAGCTAAACTCATCTGAGGCTATCACTCATGAGTTTCTTATCAGTAATTAGAAATATTTAAGCTATAGAATTCTCAGGGGAAAATCACCCTTAAGAATCTAAAAGTTCCTAATAAAATTTCTCTGAGGAAAATCATTCTTGAGAAATACCCTAGGTCTTCATACAACAGTAGTTTAATTAATTATCAATTACAATGATCACTTGAGACAATCATCAAGTTATGTTTTCAACAAAGACTTTTCTAAAATATAATTTCTCTCACAAATAAATAAAAAGAGTCTAATTTGGAAATCTGATAAACCAGACTTTCCAGTAAAGTTAAAATTAAATAACTCAGTAAAATTCTACCAAATCTAGTTTGCTATCAAATCTAAACTGATCAAAGTCTCAAACAGATCCCTAAAATTAGCCAAATAAATGACCAAAATATTCGCTACTTCTCATAAATCAATAAAACAACTTTCCGTAAATAAAATTCAAGAAGTTTCCTTTCAAAAATTAAGATGTAGCCTAAACAGTAACAAAATAAAATAAAAATTACTTACGCTGCATCAAGAATGAGAGAGAACCAAAAGACTTCGAATTACAGAATTTACCAGGCTTTTATACTATGAAAAACAGAATTCTACATTACGTATACATCGCACGAGCAAAACATAGAAAAATACAGAAAAACACAGACTCTGTATTATCATTATTGACATTAACAGAAAATATAACAGAAAATCTCAATACAGAATTCTCTTAGTAAAATCTCGTCGATTCTTGTCTATGAAAATTATAAAACAAACCGTAATATTTTCATTATAAACATTTCTTATGTTTTCAAAAATCTTGTATACATTCAGTCATTATCGAAAGAACATGCTATTCATATTTCCCGCAGTAACAGAAAAATCGATAATCTAACATTCGGAATGCCTCAGTATTCACTGTAAAAAACAAAGTAAACTCCGTATACACAGGAAGTGGGAAAACGAAAGTAAACATGATGTAAACTCATGTGCTTCATTTACCGTAGAACACATAAGTAAGTGATCAATTTTATACATGTATAATTAGACATTTTTAAAACACTTTTAACGCTTGTGGAGGGCTGAAAATTTAGGCCTGTTTTCGGCACTTACAGCCTCTTAGCAGTCGGGGGTCTTTTGAAAAAAGTCACTGCGACAGGGGCTCGGTTATTACTGTGTCATCCGAGGAACCGGTGTCCAATGTTCTGCACTTGGATTCGAACCCGCGACGTAAAGACAAACTTCTTACTTTTCGACTGTAGAATAGGACTCTTTGCGACTCTGAAACAAAATGTTCTTACCACTGCGCCACGCAGCGACAGAATGCTACATGTAAATCTTCAAAATATAAATCTATAAACAAAATGTTTTATTTGGAACATAAATTTACCAAGCTAATCAACTGATTGCAGAGCAGAAGTTAAGAGAATGTTTACTGTATAAAGTTAATCATATTTTTGTTTTAAATAAAAATACATACACATGCACACAAGCTAGTCGTTACTCTTCATAATGGTGTTACTAGTCTGTGTATTCTATTGTTTCTTGGATAAAGTATGAGAATATATAACATATAAAAAAATATTATTTCATCATTTCTTGTTCGAAATTGTTTTATGACACTATACTACACTAGCAATATAATTTTTTTTTTCAGATCTCCACTTGGAAAAACAAAATTGAAACTTACTAATATCCATTTCTTGTCTTGTAATTTTGTAGATTGATAATCAAGACTTCAATAAAGGTTTACTACTTAACATTGGATACTTGGAAGCCTTGAAAAGAGACAACTACACCTGTTTTGTATTTCAAGATGTCGACCTAATACCAGAGGACGACCGGGTATCTTACGGGTGCTGTAGAAGTCCTATGCATTTGTCTTATGCCATAGATAAATTTAATTACCGGTGAGCAATAATTAGCACGATGAATGATATGAATTTGATAAGGCTGACAATTCTATTCCCTCAGCTGTCCATGCACGTTTCTCAAAACCTTTACATATTTGTCGCTGCAGTCTTCCTGACACCAAGCTTATTGGTGGAGTATCCGCATGGCTGAAAAATGACTTTGAAGCCGTCAATGGCTGGTCAAATTTGTTTTATAACTGGGGAGGTGAAGATGACGACATGAGTTATAGGTAAGTTATCGTATTTGACTGTAAAGAATCTTTTGGTGTAAGTAAGAATCACTTCTCCAGCCTTCTGTCTGCCTACATGTACCTAATCCTTCTGTGCGTGTCATGTGCGGACCATGACTTTTTATAAAACGCATAGTTTTACACCCGACATTTATAGTAATTAGGGGTTAAAGATGTATATTTGACATTTGTCCCAGGGGTTTAAGTCAAATTAAATGGCAAATGATTGTCTCTGATGTTAGCCTAACCTACAGCCAAACCATAGCAAAAGAAGTGTAAAACTGGTATCATTAACACGAGGATTGATTCAAAAATATTTACATTTCCAATGTCTATGTTCGAGATAAAATTACAAATTGTAAAAATACTTTATTTCTACATAAATCTACTGGTTCATCGATAGGCGCGGTTAAAAAAAAATCACGTGCGGGGCGGGACAAATAGAGACAGAAGCGGGGCTATTAGCACGGGAATTTGCAGAATCAGGAGCATGTAAATATAAGGAATAACTGTCAGATTTTTTGGATTCATGACGATGATCAATCGATTGGCTTGCGTGATAATTTTATGCATAAACGCCTTCGGCGTTTATGCAAATTATCACGCAAGCCACTCGATTGATCACATCATGAATCCAAAAAATAAGACAGTTATTCCTTAAGTAATATCACAACTGCTATAAAATAATTAGTAAACGAATGTTATCAATATTTTACATACATATTCCTCTATCTATTTTTATTTTTAAATTTCATTTAGTTATATAAAAAAACTTTCAAAAATATTAAGATATTTCTTGTCGTATGCCTCACCTTGTTTAAACTTGGCAAGAACTTTGCAAGATTATCCAAAGAAAGACAAAACTCGAAATATGCATACATGCAGAGTCTGAGGTTTCTTTAATTTCGGGTTTACCGGGATATATCGAATCAACATATGAATGGGGGGAACTATCATGTATTGATAAAATGTCGATATACCTGAATGTCGAGAAGGAGGCCACAGGAAGTGTTATCTTTATGCCCCTGGATCGAAAGATCCCGGGGGTATATTGTTTTTGTCCTGTCTGTCTGTCTGTCTGTCTGTTGTCAATTTTAACCTAGCCCATAACTATTGCGCTGTCAAGGGTAAGGCTTTAATGTTTGACATGAGTGTTCATTATGACAAGACCTTTCCATTGGTACAGAAACTTTTGATCATGTGACCTCAACTGTGACCTTTGACCTACATTTGAAAAACTTTAACATTGGCCATAACTATTGTACTGTAGTCTACGTCCCACTCCAGAATTGTGTTACCATCGGGGGCACAGTGTTTCACAAACACATCTTGTTTTCTCTTGTTAAAGGTTTTGAATATATTCAGCTAAAGGTAGTACAAAACACCCATGAAATCTATTTCAACTCATTTCTTTAAATGTACATGAGAAAAAAGAATAATATTAGTTATATTGTCAATAATCATTAATCTTTGTAAGAAAATTAATAAGCTGTTACATGTTCTCGCCGTATTTTGTTAAAAAATTAGAGACATCCTATATATTAGTCAATTGGGAGCCTGCATTTTAGAATGTGTCTATGCTGTCTAAATGTGATATAGCAGTCTGTTATTAAATGCTAAGTAACTTTTGATCCATTAATAGTAGACGACTGAAATTTGAAAATATATATATAATGAGTCTCCATTCTTTATGTACAATAAAGCTCAAGGTCATATCAAATGGTCAAAGGTCAAATGTTGTGACGCCATCTGCTGAATCCTTAAGTGTTTTACCATTGATTTTTTTTAATTGCCAAAATATCTAAAATCAACGGTTCAATTTTCCGTACTTTAACAATTTTATTTCCGGATCAATTTCAATCATTCTGTTGATTTCATGTAAAAATTGAATCATACATTCTCTGTTAAGAGGACTTAAAGTGTAGCATATTTATATGTGAGTTTTCAGCTCCGAGGTTATGTATGTTCTATTTTTACATCACGTTTTACTCAAATTTACCGGTGTTAACATACATATGTATTTTACTGAATTTGAGTAACTAAAAGTTTGTCTTTATAAACAGCATCACACAAGTTTGCAATTGATCAATTGATAGTATTAAATAAGGCACATTCTCAGGTCAAATGTCTGATTTCACTTCTTACAAGGGTCTGATAGGCCATATTTAAACAATGTGAGCAAATATTATTATGTTAAATTTCCTTCATATTACATATTTAGAGAGATTTTGAATCCTAGAACAAAATTTCAAAAAAATTGAATTTGAGGAAATTTTTTGCCTATCTATTGTGTACTACCTTAACAGGAATATTAAAACAGATCGAAAAATAAAGAACAGTAAGTGTCCATCTCAATTCCAACAATTTGTTTGAAGACCTGGTCTCCAAAGACTACACAGATGTTGTAATAAGGAACTCTACCATCCTTTTTATATCCACCAGAGTACTCGTGTGTACAATCAGAGTGATTATAAGAAAGTAATTTTGTTGAAAATTTCAAATACCTCTTTGGATATCTTCCCCTCTAATAAGCAAACTGTTTACAGAATTACAATGAACAATTAGCCCTCTTCCATCATTGTGAAATTCATAACCCCTCAGTCCATGAATCAGCCTAGGGTAAGTACGCTTTGTAGGTTCCAACAAGAAAATATTTTACAGCTTTCAAATTCATCTCTGTTAAAAAAATACATGTGTAGACATTTTACAGGAAAACTAATTACTGATTTTATTGAACACAAATAGTTTATGTAGTGTTCTTCCAAGCCTTACTTCTCACAAAAATATTTACAACAGTGTTGGAAAAAACTTAACGAATACTACACGGCATATATGTATTCGAGAATTGGTGTTAATCAGATGTGGATATTCAAACTCCAAGAACTTTTAGAAAATTTGAAGTGTCAATATCTTACCTAAATCAATAATATTCAAAACTGACTACTTTTCAAAACTGTTTACAATAATTTCCCATGATAAATTAAAGATCAGACTTTTTGACATAATAGTCAACTGCTTCCTCAATAAAACATAGAACTTGTAAGATTGCATACCTTGTCATTTGTCGTCTGCAATCTTATTTTTGTTACAATACATTCTAATTATACACACAAATACTCCAAGGTTGATATTTTAAAATGCGTGAGTTTTTCATTGACACTATCCATGTAGGTTTTCAGAGACCAAGTCTACATACAATCTGTTGGAATTCCCATGGGTACTTATTTAACCCCCCATTAGCTGGCAGACTTGATTTTTGATTTCTACTTAAAAAGAAGTCTCTTCCTGTGGTCTTCAATTCGACATTTAAATTATTTATGACGTTTTATTAATTAACAGTATATTCAGTTGCGTACAAATGTCGAAATGAAAGACACCGCAAAATCTGACACAGCTCGTTTTATATTTGGATGTTTAATTAGTTAAAGGCCATCAATGACAAAATAACAAAACTTACTGATAATCGGTGATGACGTCAACTTTTCTATTCAATTTCTCTTATCTGTGTAACAATATACCATTATAACCTGCATGTAGGGTATATGTCTCACAGTTGATTCGATATCATTTTTCATTTTGAAGCGCATTTTTCCTTACGAATAATTTTTTAAGCGACACAGGCTGTTGAAAAATAAGTTGATGAAACCAACTAACTCGCTTAAAAGCAACACTTCTTTAATTCTATGGTCGATACATGTAATTCCCATGGGTACTTATTGAGCCCTGTCAATAGCAGACTTGTTTTTTGAGGGGGTTTTTGCATTCATTTGAAGCAGAATTTACTCCAAATCTTCTACATGAAAAGATGAAGTCTCTCCCTGTGGTCTTCAATTCAATATTTAAATATATCGACGACTTGTTATCAATTAACAATATATACAGTTTCTTTCCAATATTGATTCCTTATATCCCATTCAACTCGAAAGGAAAGACACCACAAAGTCTCATACAATTGTTTCCTATTTGGATGTCTTATTAGTAAAAGTTTCTGACAAACGCTGATGACTTCAACTATTCTTTCGTCAATTTCCCTTTTTCATGTAGCAATATACCATTTATAACTGCATATGGGGTATGTCTAACAGTAGTTTTGATATGCAAGAACATGTTCTCTGTGCGAACATTTTTTAATAAATTTAAACTGGGGCAGGTTATTGACAAATAAGTTGATGATACAAGAATATGAATAATCTTGTTTAAAATCTACGCTTTGCAAATTCTATGGTTGATAAAATGACCTTGTTTGCAAATTCAACCTGTCGTTAAGAAGAATGCTGACTGACGTCTTTCACACACAAATTAAAGCCATAAAAAGCACACTGAATTGTCTACATCCTCACAATGTCAAGGTTTTGTGATTTCGGAACGCCACACAAACCCTTGACATAAGTTTGGCTTGTGGTTACACATGACGTAGTGGGTAATTATAAACTAACCAATGAGAAGATATTTTTCAAATTAGTCGTTTTCAAATGTCTCAACTCCAGAGCATATCTTTTGTGATTGTAAGGAGGGCGATCTTCCAAAAAGTAATCCCCGATGTTTCATTTAATGTAACTAGTCACAGATCCTACAATATTGACACTTTCCAATTTAAAGACGAGTCATATTTGTTTACAAAACTTACCTACAATAAAAGCTGTTTTCTGATTGGTTCCAGTCCTAGACCAGGAACAAATGAAATAGAAGCTTTCTAGCCCAACTTTTAAATAGCGACTTATGTCAAGGGTTTGTGTGGAGTTCAGAAATCACAAAACCTTGGCATTGTGAAGATGAATTGTCTACCGATATTTCTGTTTAACTGATCATAATAAGGAGCACATTGCAGGTCTGACCGTTCGACTCCTGAATGGCACCTGATCCCAACCCGTTTTCAAAGGTCCATGTTGGCTCTGCTCATGATGTGTATTGTTTAATTCGACTTTTGAGAATGATCAAGTTCATCATTTTACATTTCATTAAACTATAATTGTAAAATCAATAGTCTCCTGACCCATACTTCAGGCCTCAGGGTGTTGTTAAGTTGTTCGTGCATGATAAATTCATTAAATATTTTTTTTGAAACCCTTTACAAAGATTTATAAATCCATACCCCTGGATCCATAATTCTAGCCCCAGGGTTGAGCTATGTTGATCATATCATAACACCTTTAAGAACCTTGTTCTTAAAGGGTAAAAAGAATAACGGCCTCATACGTCCTCCAGTGCACGGGGAGGATAAGTAAAAAAAATTGTAGGATAATTATTTTCAATTTAATTGAGCAAAAATAATGTTCTTAATAACTGAAAACGTATGTAGTTATTATTGTGTATTCTTGCACAGTGTTCAGAGGCGATCAAACGTTTTTGATTTCAAATTGATTTCAACGAAGAATACACTGAATGTAAACATTTACCCATGAATCTAGCATGCATTTACATGATTATCATTATAAATAAGCAACTAAACATCATTCATAATTGAGAAATTCCTTTGCCCCCTTGCCCAGAATTAGGCCCCAGGCTGGGCCTACGTTGGCCATACATTGATAAATATAATTTTGAAAATCTTTTTTTACTCATGGACAAACACGTGTACATACGACAAAGTTGCTGCATGATTAGAATGAGTACATAATTAATATTAATGCCTCCAGGGTCCAGTCTTAATTTTAAGATTAATTTTAAAAGGACAATGAAGTATGCACCACATTTACGCATTGGGATTGTTTGGAAAAAACATTTTCATTTCTTGATAGTTTTCGGTTTTTCTCTCAATTTTTTTTTTTTTTTTTTTTTTTTTTTTTTTTTTTTTTTTTTTACAAATGTTTGCCAGTTTCTTTGTATCAAAATATACACAGATAACGTTTTAAAACATGAAAAGATGACCAAGAGATAGCAGTTTTTAGAAAAACGTATTCAAAGATGTAACATTTTGTGCCAAATGGCCCATCTAGCCAATTTTCAAGTTATTCTTTAGCAAGTCAAAACACTATATCGGGTAATTATTTCCGCTTCCAATTCACAGGAACCCGAAAGATCAAAGATGCTAAAAAAATCATGCGACAGATCAATGAAAATTTCATGTGCGCCCAGATTCCTGCCGAATGCAAATCAAACGCGCCATCGTTCTTTATCAAAAGAAATTAACTCTGATTGTAATTAGTGGTTCAAATTATTTTCCATTTCAATAATTATTGATAAATCAATATTTCTTTCATTAATAAAGTTTATTTATACAGGATTAAGGTACCCGGTTGGAGGGACATATTCTCTGAATTCGCTAACATTACATTGTTGTTTTTACTACCGTAAATTTTCTTTCTTGCTATGGAAGCTGCAACAATTTATACATATTGAGTACATGTAAAATACATGAACTATATTATTTTAAGTAAAACCCAAAATGTATTCTGGCATTTATATTTTGTTTTATACAGTATAAGGAGATGTTTGTGTATTTATTTTTAATTCCATTTGCTTGAAAACTATTCTTTGAATGTTGCAGAATATATGCCAGTGGTAGAACAATAAAGCGGATGTCTCCTTCCATTAGCAGATATAAAATGATCAAGCACAATCAGTCAAAGATCAATAATGATAGGTATGTATTTTGTGTAAATTTACGGCGAAAATCAAAACAAAAAAAAATATAAATTTACGTGAAATGAATTGCTAAATGGGGAAAATTTAAAAGTTGTGAAAGATACGGTAAGGGTATTTGGATAAGCGGAAAACATGTAGATATACTAAATGGACATTCAAAAAACAACACGAACGAAAGACTCTTAGTATTAATATTTTTTTCTTTACTTTTGTAGATTCAAGATACTTTCTAATTCTTATACACGATATAAAAAGGATGGACTTTCTAGTGTACGATATCAAGAGATAAAAGTAGTAGAACAAGACCTTTTTACAAGAATACGGGTAATTCTGTGAACATTCAGACATGTATGTCAAGAAATAGAAGCAGGAGAGGAATGCTGTTTTTCCACAGAATCTGTAACACACCATACTTAAGGAACTGTAGTGTAAGGCTGACACAGAGTGTTTTTTTAATTGTGCTTGTGTAGAACATTTTGGAAGAATGAAGCAGAATTGTATGAATGTCAAACCAATATTTTTTTTTTATCCACGAACTCTGATGCATCTGTTATACACAGTCACTTAAATTGCGAGAAAAAAAATCTTAAACGTTGCACAGAATGGCACAATTTCATATCGAATTGTGGTTGTAGTTGTTTTAAATGTTTATGCAGGTAACATATGAAAAGTTAAGCACAGTACAAGCTTAGGGTCGTCCATTTTTATCTTTTTTGTATATTTATTTGATAGCTTAAAAACCAATTTTTTCACAAAAATTTTAAATAAGAATTTTGCAACAAATACAACGAAGTGTCTGAAACTTGTGTCTTAGTTTCTCTCATTTCTTCACAGTAATTTCAGTACACGTTTCATATTGGTTATCAACTACTGTGAAATCACTAATTTTCGTGGGGGTTAATTTTCCTGTTTCGGGATATGAAGAGACCCACAAATTCACGTCCACCACGAAATGAAAAAACTTCATATTCATAGCTACTCATCGCTTCTCCAATCACGGCATCAATTCCCCACAAACTAATACTTTTTGGCAGTTTTGCTCAAAGCTCGAAAATATTACCCAACGAAATTATGTGATTTTACAGTATGAGCCTTCATTCCTGAACCATTAAATTGTGGTTTTAAAGTTTTTATAATGTTTTGATAGTATATTAATATATGATCATATCTCTTTAGTTTCGGGGAGGGGTGGGGTTTAATTAATTTATGTCAATTTAATTCCATTATCTGCAGTAAAAACTGCAATCAGTTTAATCACACTACAGTGTTGTTCTTTCATAAAAATGTATCTTCACTATTTCATGACGCGTTAATAAGTTCAAGGCTATATTCAAACTCGATACCCAGCCCTTTGATTCAATGTGCTTTCATGTCGTCCGATCCAATGAGGCAAAATAAGAAACCGCGTACTTCTGGAAGGCAGAAAGTGATTGAATGGTCAAAAGTTTTCTTGAAAAATATTTTTGATCAGTCATGCCCCGGGTTAAATCTTGAATGCATTGTTTGATAGCGCTCTCGATTGCTAGCAATAACGTTTACTTAGTCTTTATTGCTGGAATAAGCATGCTTGAATTAATGGTACATAGTAGGTAATTCTGGGAATAAATTAACTGTACCATGTCAGTTTTGTTGTATCATCTCTCAAAAAAAATGATTTGAGGTTTCGTGTTTTGACATCCAACATGTACAAAATTGAACAGGTGCTTGAGGACAAGATCCCCCTTCTCCATTTTCGACTTTTTGCTCATAAATTATCCCTGCTTAGCACATTTGTGATATAATCTATACCAACAATTGGGAAAACTTCCTAAAACACATTTTGTAACATCTTCCCCAATCTATACATAAATCAACGATGTTTGTTTTTGCAAACCTGGAAGCACTGCTGAGGATTTTTTTGTTAAATTGTCTCATGAAACTACACATAGCCCTAAAATCAACAAGTTATATCGTGTGTTTAATATTCTTTTCATTAATCACCAACTCTCATAAATGTTTTAATTAGCACTTCTACAATCGAAATGACCAATTTTCCACAAGGATGTTAGCATTTTTAAACTGATTAAAGATCACCATGTCAACGGAGTGATAAGGAGACGACTTCAAATACACATATCTGCAGAAAATCTGAAACACTGCTTTAGAATAAGCATTTGAAAAAAAATTGCTATTATACACTTAAAAGAGTGTTTTCAAATGTATTAGAAGGAAATAGTTCAAAACCGCTTATGTAGGTGATATGTTTTTAATTATTTTTTTTTAGTAATTTGCAGGATTCGCTTTGAGAGTAATGCCCCTTTAGAAATGCAGTATTTTTTCTCTAGATATTTCGTGTAAAATCTGGGAAACTTTCGAAAATGTATATATTTTTTTGATTTAGATACAAAATACAAGAATGGTCTCGAGTAGATGTCCTCATGCATTTGGTTAAGGGGGGATGGGTAATAAGGCGAGAGAAATTTAATTTTTAGTTTTACGGATTTTTTTTTTTGTTTTGAAAATTTTGGGTAGGAGGAGGAAAAAGAAAGAGGTGAGCTGACTTTTATTCAATCTGATCATACATTAATTCAAGTTTGTTTGTTTGTTTGTTTTTTTGCATTCCGTGTTGCTGGTTGCAGTCCTTTGCGATAACATGTTGTACAAATGGGGCGCACTATTGCAAAGCTTTCCTTTAGCTGATCAATTTCCTTATTTGACTCCAGCTGCAAGTCACCACAGCAGAGGCAGATGGGATCAAATGTCACAGTGATTCCTACAATGATTATGTATAAATAATTTTTATAGGTATCACAATGTTCATATGTTCAATTAATATATATTATTATCATTCTGAAGTTTACAGGTATTAGAATAAATTCAATGACTTCACACCTGCATAGTACTGGGTTTCAATGTAAGCACTACATATCAGGGATTCACGAACAACTATCCTGTCCTGATATTCCCCTCCTGGGAATAAGGGGCCCCCAACAGAAAAAAAAGCATTTCTTCTTCAACTCTCAAAACAGCTCTCTGCTTCTGTGCTGTGCAAGCCTCTGTGCTGTCAAAAGGCTTGCACTGTACACCACCCTCCTCTTACCACATTCATGGCAGGATACAAATCCACGTACTTTTCCTGCAATTAAAAATGGCTTGGTATATCCAATATATAAATCTAAAGATTTTTTTCAAATGTTTTAATAAATGGGTGTACAAATCTAGCATATATTTGTGATTAAAGTGTACAACTAATAAGAGTGATATTTTCATAGATAATAAAAGGAGAGAGAGGGATAGCACACCAGGTCAATAAGAATAGTGAATTGATATGCATATTATGAATGACTCAATAGAAACTCAAGTACACACATGGAAGACAAGAAGCTGTTAGAGTTACATGTAGCACTACAAGAAACCACCACATAAACCAGTGTAATATATAACCTTTCATCTCCTTCTGTACAAAATAAATATTACTAGAAATAAATACACCTAGAAAATAATCAATTTTTAAGACTTTTTTTTATCATTTAATATCATAGGATTCCATTTTTTAAATACAAATATACAGTCAAACTTGCAACAAAAAGTGGTTTATTTTCCTTCTCCCGTTCCGTTGCCTCTTTGGATACTTTGAGGCTTGATCTTGCACTTTCATCCGTTTCTGTGCCATATACTCCTTCAAATGATTTGTATTCTTCATTCTCCAAGACGGGATCAGGTAAAAAATGTATAAGGACTCCTCTAATCTTGGAGGGTTTAAGCAGCAATACGAGCAGCTATCCACATCTTGTAGACTACATTTCTTCACCTATTAAAGAAGACATTGGTACTATATGTTAATTATGATAATACAATAAATTCAGTCTTATTCAACTTTAAGCTTGAAGCATACATAATTTTTAATAATTGTTATAATACATGTACCTGGAAGCTATATTGACGTTTTCTACAGTGACGCTGCACAAACTGATGTAATTCAGGATACTTGGACAAGTCTTTAAGTTTCTCAACTTGTTCACCATGTAGATCTTGGCATAGAATTTGTGCAATATCTAGAATCTAGGTGATTTCTGTATCACTACATGCATCATGAGCATAGACATTCCCATGGGTTCTTTTGAGTCTGGAAAATACATCTTTGACAATTTGAATTGGAGCATTCACAGACTCTTTCAATGCTGATTTTAGAGCCTCATTTTTATTGTTTCATACTGCACTCATACTATACACAACGATGTCATTTTCAACTCAAATCCACACTCCATTTCCTTGCGTTTCAGTGACACATTCTGCAGGCCAAAATTTAAGAGACATCATCCTTTCAGCCGGGTTGTTATAGCTTTGGTGTGGATCACACCTACAGGCAATGAATATGTCTAGATTTAGTGCTATGAATTCCAATACAGATGCCAACTGAACTGAAGCAAATGTTGGTCTGTGGTCTGGTCCACCATCTCTGTATCTTAGAATGATTGGCTTGCTGGCACTGACATCATCATCACTAAAGTAAGATCTGACAATTTTGACAGTTTCTGCTGCATGGCGAAAAGGGCTGGACGGTTGAAAAATTTTGTCCTTGAGAGTAATATGAACATCACCATGATAAAAAGATCCCCTGCTATTGTCTGGGATGTCAACAATATTTAGTTCTATAGTTAGGCATTTGCATACACGTTTTATGATTTCATTGATTTGCAAACTTATTTTAAGCGATTTTTTGGTTTCAACACTTTAATTGGGGAAACACCTGAATGTCTACTTCACATTACTGTTGACCTTGAAAGATCCATAGAAATGCTAAGTAACATAAAATAAACTATTACATGAAGACATGTTAACACAAAACGCGAGAAATAGAATGACCAGGGAAGGAAATTAAATGAGTTAGTCTAGCACATAGCGACAACTCGTTAAGTAGATCTACGTGTATTTACTTGAATGCACTTGCTAGTTATAATACTATACCCCATTTGTATCCCATTTGTCACTATCACTAGACTTAGCAACTCAATAGTACTTGAGCACTTAAAACAATATACACATATACAAAACAATCCTTAAATCTTACATTGGCCTCTATTTGTCTTCAAGTGTTTAACGGTCAAATACGTTATTTTCGTATCATATATTTTTATTATTATTATTATTTATTTATCTATTACGGTCACGGTACAATGTAGCTCAGTAGGTAGAGCGCTTGCTCTGTGATCGGAAGGTTGTGGGTTCGACCCCCGGTCGCGACTGACCTAAGTCGACAAAAAAATACATGTAGGTAGCAACTGTCCCTTCGCCAAGCGCTCGACACTTTAAAGGGAAAGCTGCCCTTCGGATGAGATCTTAAAAACCGAGGCCCCGTGTCACGGCAAGCGTTGGCACGATAAAGATTTTTCACTGCCCAATGGCCCTGAGTGCCGAGTAAAAAGTATAAATTTGAAGCCCTTCAACCGGTATAGTGACGTCTCTATGAGTGAAAAATTCTCGAATGGGATGTAAAACAACATACAATCAATCAATCATTTTTATTTATTATTTACAGAACCGGTAGAGCGCTCGCTCCGTGATCGGGAGGTCTTGAGTTCGAATCTCGGCTGCGACTGACCTACGTTGATAAAAAATGGGTAACAACTGTTCCTTCGCCATGCGCTCGGCACTTTGAAGTGAAAGTTGCGGGTCCTTCGGATGAGACCTTAAAAACCGAAGTCACGGCAGGCGTTGGCACGATAAAGATCCCTCACTGCTCAATGGCCCTCAGTGCCGAGTAAGGCCAAAAAAATATAATAGTCTTGTTTCCTGCTACCCTACCTACCCTATTTTTTTGCACCCG